CCCCCCAACTCTATTGTAGTGTCCGCTGCCATTACTCATGAAGTAACAACACGCAATTCCAGTTTGTTCTCTTTCTTTCAGTGGGTGTGAATGTCTCTCTCTCTCTCTCTCTCTCTTTCTTTGACTAGAGTTTTATGATTCTGTGTGATCAGTTCTGTCAGTCAGCAGGGAATCGGATTTTGAGGACCTCAGATTATTGACCTGAACCTTCCTTTTTTTTTTTTTACTGTCAGTTTTTGAAGGACGTCGTCGTATAAACAGGGGAGACCAGAAAATAACTCATGTAAGATTTTTTTTTTTTTACTGTCAGTTTTTGAAGGACGTCGTCGTATAAACAGGGGAGACCAGAAAATAACTCATGTAAGATTTTTTTTTTTTACTGTCAGTTTTTGAAGAACGTCGTCGTATAAACAGGGGAGACCAGAAAATAACTCATGTAAGATTTTTTTTTTTTTACTTTTTCTTGTTGTAATCACGGCTGTTTGGACAATAAAAAAGTGGTGAAATCATGGTTAACTTTGAAAATATTACGGTACTGAATATGATACGCTACGATACCATCTATATGATACCATCTATACGTTGCGATAATACACCACTGTATGATTTTTGAGGTTTGAATTTTTTTCCTGCATCACTTTGACTTGACTTTGACTTATTTTGTATGTATAATATTTAAAAAATATTTTTGTTTTGCTGGAATTATAGTGTGTAAAAGTACTTGTCACACCGGTTGTAGAAGTTTTTTCTTTTCTTTTTTTTCTACGACATTCAGCTCGTGATTCAATATAAACAGGTGAGACCAGAAAATAACTCATGTAAGATTTTTTTTTTTTACTTTGTCTTGTTGTAATCACGGCTGTTTGGACAATAACAAAGTGGTGAAATCATGTTTAACTTTGAAAATATTACGGTACTGAATATGATACGCTACGATACCATCTATATGATACCATCTATACGTTGCGATAATACACCACTGTATGATTTTTGAGGTTTGAATTTTTTTCCTGCATCACTTTGACTTGACTTTGACTTATTTTGTATGTATAATATTTAAAAAAATATTTTTGTTTTGATGGAATTATAGTGTGTAAAAGTACTTGTCACACCGGTTGTAGAAGTTTCTACGACATTCAGCTCGTGATTCAAAACAAATACTTTCACCTGTGATCTTATGGATGAATGACTACAGACATGAAATGGTGGCTCAACAACTCTGAAGTTTGAAAGATTGTCTTTATTAAACAAACACTAGTTATTTGTAAAGGGTGTGAGGCCTCCAGCCAATGGTGAGTGAAGGGAAATCTTTAGGGCGATAATAAAAGGGTGAGAACAGAACGGAGAATATATTTCCATGAATAACAAGTCAGAAAAGGATCATGATTTTTGCTTTAACTCACTTCTTGTTTTTGTTTTTGTTTTTTGTGTGTGTTTGCAGTGAAACCGCCCGGTGTCGCTGTAGCTTCCGTAGAATCCTTATCTGCTTGTGCACTCTGTGTGGCACCTTCGTCCTGTTGTTCATCTACGTGGGCATCGTGGTGTGTATGAGCATGAACGGCACACCAACCCCGTTGGCTATCATCAGAGTAAACCCGCTCATCGTTGCGACGGGATCTGAGACGTTCTGGCAGAGGCCGAGCAGAGAGGCTTATTGGAACAGCCTTCAAGAAGCCGTGGACTTCCACTTCAACCCCGTGCTGAATTCCAAAGACCCCAGTATAGTGTTTCACGACAGCATCTTTTACGAGTTTGTGCGAAAGCGAAGTTTTACTAAAGTCTCTGCCACTGCTGAGAAGTTAGACACCAGTCAGTATCCACCATTACTCCAAGACTTTGTGAACAACATGGAGAGGAGGGACTACCCAGTCCTCATACAGCCGGGTGGGCTGTGTGGAGCTGGGGCAAAAGACGAGAACGAGCCTCCTCTGATTCTCCTGGCCATCAAGTCGTCGGAGCTCAACTTTAAGAACAGACAAGCCATTAGAAACACCTGGGGTCGTGCAGGGTGGGTGCCGGGCCAGAGCGACAGAGGAGGAGAGCGGAGGGGAGGGGGCTACGTCCGCAGGATCTTTCTGCTCGGCAAAGAAAACTTTGAGGATCTGGGAGTCAACACAACTTCGCTCCTGCGGACGGAAAATGAACTCTACGGAGACATCCTGCAGTGGGACTTCAAGGACACATTTTTCAACCTCACTCTGAAGGACGTGCTGTTCTGGAAGTGGTTTTCACACCACTGCGGCTCCACGAAATTCATCTTCAAAGGTGACGACGACGTCTTCGTTAACACTCACAGAATGTTGACTTACCTCCAGGAGCAGCTCCAGAAGCCAGGAGCAGAAGAGACCATGAAAGACTTCATGGTCGGTTATCTCCTTGGTTCAGTGGAACCCATTCGAGACGTGTACTCCAAGTACTTCATCCCTGACACCTTCTACAAAGGCCTGTATCCCACATATGAAAGCGGGGGAGGGGTCATTTACACGGGCCAGTTGACCAAACGCCTGTACGAAATATCTCAGCGCGTTCACCTGTTCCCCATCGACGACACTTTTGTGGGCATGTGTATGAGTCGACTAAACGCCATGCCCAGCCACCACCCCGCTTTCCTCATATACGACTTTAATGCAAAAGAAGCAGAAGCCGAATGTTCGCACCACACGGTCCTGCTGCTGCACAAACGGAGTCCGGCTCAGTTAATGAGTCTGTGGAACAACATGAAAATGACGGAGGAAAAGTGTTGGAACGCCACGTTAAGGTAACGGTTGAAGTCAGGGTAATAAATTAAGTCAACTGTCAAACAGGAATTTAATCTGATTAATCACAGGGTAGACGTGGATTAGTCGTCATTAGGGATGTCCAAAAACAGATCGGCCGATATTGTCCAAACACTTAATTTCCGATTCCGATATTTGCAGCTGAAAACCCAGGCATTACGCAATCAGGTTGTGATCATCGGAGAAAAAAAACAACAACAATTCTTTCCAATATTACATAATAATACTGATAATACTGGTTAGTCGATGTCGTCCCTTCAGGACTCCCTAACCTGAGGTTGAGCCTCCACAAACACAAGCCAGGAGTTGATGGGATTTTAAGATCCACGAGATTCAGTAAAACTAAAACTTTTTTTTCCCCACAGTGTGTGTAAATAACATGTCATATCAACTGTGAAAAAAAAAACAAAACATGAATGTGCGGTGGAATATACAAAAACAAAAACATGAATGTGCGGTGGAATATACAGTGTCATTCTCCCTTTTCTTAAAAAAAAATAATAATAATTTGATGAACATGTTCATTCGGACAGCCCTAAAAAAAATTAAACGGTTTTAGAAAATAAGTCAAAAGTAATTGATGGACAATCTGAATTGTTTTCTGGATTATACACTATATGTGTACTATACATTTGATGTTTGATTCATGTTTTGCCTTTTCAGAACCAGCGATTCTGAAGGAGAGAACACGCCGTCCACCATGACACTTCCACCGTGACACTTTCATCGACAGCTGCCCAAAATGGATGAAAAGGCCCACAGGTTCTTCTCACCTGGGGGTGAAGGGGTCATTATTCCTATGGAGGGAACTGACACTCACAGATTTTATAGTTAATAATATGAGCCAGGAGAGTCAAAAAGTTCAAAGACAAAGACCAAAAAAAATTCCTCCATGTTTTCAGTCTGTTTTCTTCTTTGGTGATGTTCCCATCAGACGATTGGCCTTCTTTGTAGAATACTGGAGGATGACCTTTGACATCTGTGTGTGAGACCCTCATCCTAATATGGGTGAAGATGAGATCATTTGTCTTAGAACTTTTTGACTAACCCTAATGTTTTGCAGGGCTGATCGTGATTATTGTAAAAACTGTTAATGAAGAAAAAAAAAACGTTTGTCTGGAGAAGAAACAGTAACTTATAGGGAGCGTCACATAGCACCAGTAGATGGCAGTATTGCAGCTCAAAAGTCTGCCAGCTGCCATTTAAAACTCAGAAACATGTCAGGAGGATTAGCCACGCCTGAGAAAACAGGACTGTGACAAATATCTTACTAACACTTTCTTTGTGTCGCAAGGCATTTTACCACGAACGGAAACGAGTGTTTGAATGATTGTATCACGATCAGCCACACACCAACGCACAGTTCCTGATCTGTGAACTTGAATGCACCTCTGAAGGACGTTAACGCGTTCCTGAACCATGAAGAAAAGTTGAAGTTCGGACCAAGTCTGTATAAAACCCTACTGATGAAGAAGAGAACTTCATAAAAAGGTTCTTTTAGTACTTTTGTTAATTTAAAGTGTATTCTCTACTATAGTACACTGCCGTTTATCAGAATACTTCATATTACTGTGGTTTTCTTGGAAACTAAGAAAATACTACAGGATTACTGTAGTTCTACACAGTTTGGGACAATTTTTCTTTCAAATTTTTTTCTCTGGGAAAGTCGTTCATCTAAAACTTGTCCTGTACTCTGATGGTGTACCAAATACTACCTGTGAATGAAGAAATATTGTGTTAAAGGACACATTTTTTTTATTATTTGAATTTTTATTTTTATACATGACTTGTTTTATTCTCTTGGTGAAACAAATGTAATGTGAACATGAATTATATAAAAATGTTTTTCTTTGTATTTTAATTGTATTTTTCATGTTTTACTTCCTCAGGTGCATTTTTTATGACGGAAATATACTTTATTAAATACATTGACGTAAGTGGAAATGTATATTCTGGGAACATTTGCTTTACAGAGGAAAAAAAATGTTTACTGAGTATTCATGTATGTATCAATTATAGTTCAATACTAGATGTTTTCTAAGGAGTTAGTGCAATGGTTCTCAAAGTAGGGGGCACCGCCCCCCAGGGGTCAGGGTGCTATTGCATTGGGGACACAACAAGGCTACATTTGGGAAGTTACACCGATTAGTCATTTAACTTGTTTAATGAAAAAAAAAACATTTTATATGAATTACAGTATTTAAAATAAAATTCAGATTTGACGCAGTAGCTGTGAACGTGTTTGAAAAGCACACTTTTGTCCCAACAATGTGACCAGAACGACACCCCCGTGGTGGTGGCGGCCCACTCTGTGGCCCAGGTCTAGATACCTACAGGATGTTGTGGGAAAATTAAAAATTTAAACACTCCTGATGAAAGAACCAGGTCCAGGTTGAGATGTTTCTCTTTGGGAAAGAAAGAATGTGTTTCCTGTAAGTAATTGGAACCAGTTCCTTCTTGAAACTCCGTCAGTTCTGGTAAATGTAGGAGTCAACGTCACGTCGACCTCCCAAACCACACTACGTGCTGTCTTTTCTTGACTTTTGAGGGCAGTCCTTGCCCACAGCCCCTCCTCTGTTGATGGAACTACGACGCTGACTTATCACTGCTGTTGTTTCAAACCTTTTTGAAAAAATTGTTAAATGTAAAACCTCCCCCGGCCCTCACCCCAGCCTCACCCTACTGCAGAAGATCCATGGGTTTTTGGCGTCCAGTTGTGTTTGACGTGATGGTTGTGTCTTACTGGTGCAGTGGCTTGGTGGTTAGCACCAAGCAGACTTGGGTCAGAAAGGTTTCAGGTTCAAGTCCACCAGCTGCCAAGTTACCACTGACCATGGCACCGTCCCCCCTGTGGGCACTTAAGCTGCCCCCTGCTGACTTTGGTGATAGGTCAAATCAGGTTATCACCTTCACTCCAGGATGGATGAGGCCTCGTCCTCAACATGTTTAAAAACTTGGAGTGAATGTTTCTAACATTGTTTTTTGTTGACTGACGTTTCAAAGAAAGTTGAGTTTTTGTCCCAGTACACCTCAGGATCAGGTTTTACTGGAAATACTGGCCGTGATATTCTCAGCAAAGGTTTGTGTGTGTGTGTGTGTGAAAAACCTGAAGAACAAGTGACAGATCTGAGTCGTTCAACGTGAAAGAAAACGGTCAGAACAGACAGTTTACAAACAGAAACCTTTGATTTCTCTTCATGGGTTTATTACTAACAACAGCCTCTCTCCCCCCTGAGGCTGATCTACTGTCCTAGATCTTCAGGATTGTCACCTCACGCATCTTCAGACCAACTCTCCAACATGACTCTTCTTCAGACTGGGTCTAAGATCCTCAGAACTTTCTGGACCTGGATCTGAAGGAATCCCTTTGTGGATCACCCAGATGGATTTTATTCCCAGGTTTGTACTGATTTGCCTTCATTACTTTCATTTACTTTAACTTCAGGAACTAGATTGTTTGTTTTTTTTGTACCTGTCAAATCCAGATTAGTTAATCCGGTTAGTTTAACTGTCTGTCTAAGCCTTTTGTTTGTCTCATGTTGTCAACAGCGACTTCCACCTCTGTCGTCACTCATTGGCATAATGGTTTGCATGCTTGGCGTCACAGGGCGTATCTCCTGCGCACGTGGGCTGAACTGGAACTACAACAGGCTCCACCTAAGAGGAGACCTTCATTTAGAGGTTGGAGTTTTACAGAAGACGAGGTGAAAAACGAAAACCCTTTCTGTTTCTTTGTCTGTTTTTTATTTTATTTTTCATAGACCATGAGTGAAACCACGGGGCCATCAGTTCACTGACAACAATCACCAACAGCCACACAGATGAGGACTGAGTGAAAAGAACGGAGCCATCACTACAGCAGGTCAGGATCTGGGTTTTTTATTATTATTATTTAACTGTCAGAACATGTTCCCTGTGATTGTTTTTTTTCAGTTTTTTTTAATAATGAACCTCCAGTCTTAAAGTTTTTTTTTTCTTTCATTTTTTGCTGCTAAAAATACATCAGATGAATCACTGGCTGCATATTTGTGTGTTAAGCTCCAGCGATGATCCCGACTTTAAATAGCTGATCATACAAAGTAGAATAAAGGTCACAAAAATAAAAACAAACATGCATAGAACGTAGACAGAATCAGCAGAGGGGGCGCTCACTTTACCCCTCCCAAAACACACACACTTGGACCATCAGTCAAGGTCTAAATATTTTGCATTTTTGTGTTTCCAGTACAAAAAAAAATCTCTTTCACAAATAAAATATTTTTTTACAAAAATGATTGGAGTAGCATCAACCCAGAGCTGTATTATTGATTTTCTGGTTGGTGCTCAGAGCTGGTTAAACGGCAGCGTACTGTATTCAAACCTGTGATTTGACTCGAATTTCCTGTCGGAACAGCATTTTCTGAACACTTTTTTTTTTGTGCCTGAAATACCACAACTGTTTAACAGAGGGCTCGGGGCGATGTCTCCACTGACACTGAGACACAATCAGGACCTCTTCACTGATTGGCTGCACTTCTGCTCATTTTCTTGGTTCAAAATAACTGTAGAAGTCTAAAAAGTTCCAGATCTTTTTTTTTACTGCACTGTAACAGTTTTTTTTTTTTTGATCTTTTTTTTACTGCACTGTAACAGGTTTTTTTGCTCCTTTTATGCAAATTAAAACAGTCCCTTGATGTGTAACTAATATGTCAGTGTCATGAATGTGTCTTTGTCCAAAACATCTACTGAACTGAATTGAACCTGTCAGGGGTAGACAGACAGAAACACCAATCCTTTTTGCAGAATATGACACAGTTGAATCAAATCTGTGTTACACCGACTCTCAGAAGATTTGTTTTTATTTACAAGCCTCTTCTGATGTATTTGCAGCTGAATGGCGCGGCGCAAGTGTCACACCCTCAAACTCATCACCTACCTGTGTGTTGTGTGCGTCAGCTTGGACCTGCTCCTCACCTTTCTGACAAATATGGAGAGTGAGGGAGTGACGGACACGGCACCGACCGAGGCCACTGCTGAAAATAAAGAAAACAGCACAGACAAAGCTGCATTTGGGGAACTGCCAAACTTCCGAAAAAAAATTTCCGCCCCATTGCCAAAAACGTTCTGGCAGACCGGTGTGCGTAGCCAAGGCCTTTGGAACGATCTCCAGGAAGACGTTGACATGCACTTCAATCCCATCCTCAGGCCCAAAAACGACACCTCACAATATGAAGACAGAGTTTTCACCAAGTTAGTAATGAACCAAAGTTTCTCTAAGATTTCTAACTTCACTAACACAAACGACGAGGAGCAGCTGCCCAGGATGCTGCAGGACTTTGTTCACAACATGCAGAGAAGAGACTACCCGGTCCTCATACAGCCTCGTGGAGTGTGTGGAGCTGGAGCACAGGAGGAGACGGAGTTCCCTCTGCTGCTCCTCGCCATCAAGTCAATCGTTTCCAACTTCAAGGGCAGACAAGCTATTCGTAACAGCTGGGGCCGGACAGGCTGGGCGTCAGGTGGAGGAGGTGGTGGCTACGTCCGCAGGATCTTCCTGCTGGGAACCAGCTCTGAGCAGCAGAACATCAACTTGGCTGAATCACTGCAATCAGAGAGCAGCCTTTATGGAGACATTCTGCAGTGGGACTTTAAGGACACGGCTTTTAACCAAACTTTGAAGGATGTGCTGTTCTGGAGGTGGTCCTCACTTTTCTGTGAGGGGACACAGTTTGTCTTCAGTGGAGACGATAATGTCTTTGTCAATGTCCCAAAAATGGTGACCTATCTGCAGGAACAGCTTAAGAGTCCTCGGGCAGAGGAGAAGATGAAAAACTTCATCGTTGGGAAGGTGGTGCAGAAGGAAGCCAAATACTTTTTTCCCGACAGCTTTTACCAAGGGACGTTCCCTGTGTTTGTCGACACAGTTGGACTAGTTTACTCAGGCCACTTGACTCAACGCTTGAACCAAATATCACGGAGAGTTCACCTCTTCCCCATCGATAACATTTACTTAGGTATGTGTTTGTTACGGCTGAAGGTCGACCCTGTCCATCATCCTACCTTCCTCAAGTCGGGTTCTTCTGAGAGTTACCTGAAGGACATCTGTGTCTACCACAAGATCATGGTGGTGGAAACACCAAACCACAGGGACCTGGGTAAAATCTGGGCTCGGTTAAACAGCACACAGTCCCAATGCTCCTGAGGTCGAACAGTAACCAAAGGTCAGACTCTGGATCATGGTGAAGACCTTCTTCAAGAAACACACACGTTTACAGAGAAAGTACAAAGTATCCACTAAAGACAGTATTTCGTTAGGTATTTAAAGAACATTGTTGATTATGGTACCATTTCAGACGTCCTCAAACATGACTCAGTCCAGCTCAGCACTTTTCTGTTCCCATCCCCCATGGTTCTGAAAGTACCAGATGGGTATTTGTATGTGATTCCATTTTACAAACTTCCCCTGCAAGATGGCTAACAAGCCACAATGTGATTTTGTAAAATATGCCTTCCTTCTTGCCTAAACAAAGACTAAGCAGTAATTATTACCATTACCACCTACATTTACATAGGTGACACTGATCAAAATGTTATTAATAGAATTCTACCTCCAAAAAATATGTGTTGTGTTAAAACAGTGGTTCTTAAATCTTTAACTTCGCGCACTACATCCGAAAATATTAACATCTCTAGGGACTGGATATTAAGGCAACATATCAGCACAGGTTTACAATGCAGTGTTAATTCCATTAACTTTACATTTTAGTCAAGGGCAAAGTCAACGAACATCTTTTGAAAGACTAAAACTAAACGGAAAGTTGCGTGGAACTAAATGACGTTGGTATGGATGTATTAGCCAAATGTTAGAAACAACACAAATTCGGTCAGGGACTGACACCAATCAGCGTTAACGTCGTCACGTAAACTGAAGGAACGGATGAGAACGAGAACCAATCGGAGCTGTGTTTGTTAGCAGGTACTATATAGAGAACCAATCACAGTGAGCGTGCATCCGGCAGTAGAAGAAACACGGAAGTCAGTTTGAAGACAAGAGCGGTAATACTCTGGTCCAGTCGTGAAATAACTTTAAACTAAAACACTGTCTCCTAGGACATAAATATATGGAACTATATTTTTATGAACGTTAGTGAAAACACGACTTACTTTAAATCGTGTGAAAACGACAGGTTGAGAAAAGACCGTGAAGTTTGAAGAGTGACCTGCAGACATGTCCGGTGAAAGGTAAACAGACTGACGAATTCTCTCTTAATATGAACTAATCTGAAGAATATTAACAATACAATACAAGAAGTAACATCTGTCACAGCCTCCGACATCTTAATATTAACTATTCTGGATAAAATATGAAGTAACATCTGTCACAGCCTCCGACATTTTAACAGTACCATGTAGGTTTATGTTCACGTTAATGAGTAACATACTGTGTAATGATAATATAAATACATGTTATAATCATGTTGAATACCTGAGTTTTGTACATTTTATAAACAGGACAATATTGCGCATTTTAATAAAAAAAAAACTCATTTCAAATTTTCTTTGACTAATACAAAACTTCTATGTCTAGTCATCGACCATTTATCATTACAGTTAAAAAATAAGATATCATCCCCCTCTCACTGTCAGAGGAAATTCCAAATCAAAGTTTGAGAACCACTGTTTTTTTCTTTTTAAGGTGTTCATTGTTTAACGATATAGTGAAATATTCATTCTGTCATTTTCATGTGCCTTGAGACATCTTTCCAAATGTCTTAGGTGATTTTATATATTTTTTTTTTATTTTTGATGATATTTTTGACATTGTGGAGTATTTCCAATAAAAATGAATGAATTAATCTTCTAAAGCTGAATTAAAATAAGGCTGCATGTTTCAAAGGTTTATAAGATGCTGAGATTTTCCTTCTGTAGATAGGATTTGAAAAAGCAGAAGAGCAGTTGAAGTGTAGAAGCAAGATTGGGATTGGACTGGACATGTACTGGAAGAGAAGAATCACTGATGTGGTAAAGGAGGACATGGAGCTGGTTGGTGCCACAGTAGAGCCAGGGATCGAGTGCGTTGAAGGTACAGGATGTTCTGCCGCAGCAGATCTGCCATCAGACACTTCTGTTTAATTAGACAATGGTGACAAAAGTATTACAAGTACATGACAAATAGGTCTGTAGCTTGAATGTCAAACATGTTTGATCACAATCCAACTTGTTTGTCATTTGAGTAATTGATGGCTTCTTCTTAGTTAAACTGAGTTAGCAGCTTAGCTGTTAAATCCTTTACTTCATGGTGTGTGTGTGTGAGACTGAAAATCAAATGTTTAGTAGAAAAGGACCAACACATGAATAGTGTTTGGACAACAGCTGGTTAACCAACCCACAGACAGTAATCACCACTCGATTACTGTGTTTACCTGCATGATTATAAATAGAGCTTAATTCAGTATGACGTCATGGACTTTATCAGTGTGACAACAGCAGAACTGTGACACATCATAGACAGGAATTTCAGGTGCCGGCGTTCCAAACACTCACTCATCAACAAAAACCGGAAAGACCAGAAAAGTCATTTTGTCTTTTTCTCTAACAGACAAAAAACACACCCATCTTCATTCCTGGAAACAGCCAAAAGTAAGACACACTGTTAGCGTTGTATACTCTCTTGTATGAACCGAGGTTTTAAAGGTGCAGTAAATATGTTAAAGGAAGTCATTTGTTTATATGGAAATAATTCCTGCAGCCATTTATTTCCTTTTTTCTAACTGGATCTTTCTGTAGGCCAATGCTCACTAGTTAAAAAAGAACAGACCCAGTAGGGGGCAGTGGTGTAATTCAAAAGCCAGTTCTGTATTAAAACAAGAAAACTAAAAAATATTTTATTTTTTATTTAAAGTAAAAATGTGTGGTTATGGGTCAAATACTTCTTAAGTGTTGTTTCAACACCGCAGTTCAATCAATCATTCATGTTCTTCTGCTTTTCACGTGTTGTTTCAACACTGCAGTTCAATCATTCATGTTCTTCTGCTTTTCAGGGTCAGATAGGTGAGAGCTGATGACAATCCCTGCAGTGAGCAAACAGGTACACACTGTGACTATCTTTGCAGTAAGGCAACAACACTAACCACTCCTCCACTTTGTGACCCTGACTACAAATCAGCACAGCCTGGTAAAACACACTCTATGACAGTACTTCTTGTACATTTGTTTCCATCCAGTGGACAATCACTACAGTCTGGGGAAATAAGTGTTGACAAAGTTAGAGGATTAAATAGTAGTTACCGTAGTATAGTAGATTGAGGTGGTGTTTATAAAACTGGCCTTATAAAAATGACCTGGACTATTAGTCAGATATAGTTATATTCTTATAGTCTGCCCAGTGTGACCGACTGCTCTCATTCATTCATCAGAATCTTCCAAGAACAAATAAAAATAAATAAAGCAAACATGATGAGAATGTAATATGCTACAATCAAACTGATAAACTTTAATGTTTTTAAATTTAATGGAAAAATGTCTGCTTCAAGGTTACCCTAAAAAAATCCCAGGGCCCACAGAGCAAACCAAGTTTTTATAACATTTACAGAGTTTGAGTTGTTTTTGCTTCTAAATCCAGCAGTGTCAGTATGAAGTTCCGGTTTCCCAGCTGTGATGTGTTCTGCAATACAGTGTTAGCTCCACTGGAGGTCAGTAAAGACGTGATGAATTCTCCTCATTCCTTACAGTTTTTGAAGGACATTGGTACTTATTTTGGTCTTAGTTCATTTAGAGCCCAGCTCAGTTATTGCCTCCAGTAGGGCTGCAGAGGGCGCTGTGGCTTGAAGTCCCATGCTTTTTGGTCATCAACATCAGTGTAGTAGCAGTAACAGCAGAGCTTGCAGTGACACCAAAGTCACAGTCATCACTCACAGCAGTCCTGTATGGTCACTGCTACTGCAGTCTACAGTTTCTGTCCTATTTCTCCTCCTCCTCCTCGTCCTCTTCACTGTCCTCCTCGCTCACACTGTAATGATAGTTACAGCGGTTGGTGTTGACAAAAAGGTCGCTCTCATCATCCTCAGAGTTGCTCTCCTCCTCATCTTTCTCTGCTGTCTCTAGCTGTTCTTTTGTATTGTCCTCCCCTGACGTGTCCTCCACAAAACCTGCTGGCCTAATGAAAACAGAAAGAGGAATCACAGTAGAACACGACAAAATGTCACTGTGGTTGTCAGATGTGTCCCCGCGGGCCTTGTGTGTTGACACTCACCAGAGCTGCTGTTTCTGCAGATAGTGAATGTGATCTTTGTACAGAATGAAAGAGATCTCTGCCTTCACCTTCTCCCCTTCCTCAATAGGATCCACGATCACGTAGTCACCTACAGAGGGAGAATGAAAATTTAATTTAATTATGATTCAAAAGATGAAGGTTTTGACCTCTTTTACAGGGGTGTAAGAAGGATGAAGGTGTTGACCTCTTTTACAGGGGTGTAAGAAAACACTGATATATTGCAATATTTCATTTCATAGTACCATATTGATTTTTTTTATCACCAATTCTCAGTCAAATATTCCTGGTGTTGGTAAGATACAGAGCACTTTGATTACACTTACCATTAGTCTGGTAAAAAAACAAATCCCTGTTAATGTGACAGTCTCTGTAAAAGTCTTTGTTATTTACTAGATCATTAACTTATCCCGCTGAAGCTCTTACCTCTCTTAATCCAAATGTTCTTGCGGAACTTTGTGGGCATGCTCACCAGGAATATCTCACCCTCAGCTGTGACAGTTTCATGGAGGTTGTTGCCACGGCTACCAGTGATCTATAGGTGCAAAGGCAGAACTTGTTATAAAAAACAGTATCAGTAAGTAGGTTGAGTCCAGACAGTTTCACTGACTCTGATCACCTTCACAATCATCTGGTTTTCAGTGGGTGTTACGAAGTCTCCCAGAACCTCCTTGACAACATGTTTACGTTTCGTGGCCTGTGACATTGTGGATGACGATGTTCTTCAGACGTCTTCAGCAGCTGTGGTCAGAGTGACTGAAAAAACAAAGCAAACAGGTTAGTTTTAGTTTTTTCGTATTACGTTTTTATACTTTCTGTATGATCTTTGAGGAGTTTAAGGAACGCGATGTCCAGAGGAGTTTCAATTGGTCATATATGTAGAGAATACTGACGACTATCCCACCAGAGAGTGGCGATACACATTACTGTGACGCCGGAGGATTTAGCATTAAAAGATGAATTCATTAAAATAAGCTGATACAACGATGGTTGGTCAAAACGAGGTAGAATTCCTTTTTGAGTATTTAATAATAGAATAAATGAAAAAAGCATTAGTTTGCTTTCATTTTAGTTGTGACAGGACAGTGTCAGCAATAAATCTTTACAAATTTGTCCAGAAACATTAGCGCCCTGTTGCAGTAACACATGACACAGAACACACGTTAACTAAGTACCATGCTAACAGTAGCAAACTGAACATGTCACTAGCTAGTCGCGTTTAAAAGTATATTGAATAACTACCTGGAGATGAAGTTAAAGTGTGTCCGTGATAAAGTAAAATGTTTTAATTATGGGTTATTGTTAAAGCTCAAACCTACGAGTGTCAGTATTTACTGAGAACTAGTTGGCTCGTATACTGTTTCCGGTGTATCTACAATGTCCTTTCAAATGAAAATCGGTGTTGGATTTATTTATAATTCTCACAATAACCAAACAAACTGGGTGCTGCAGTATATTAAACAAACGAGTTTTATAGTATAAAATGTTTAATGTGATGTGTGTTTCTTGTACATTTATTCAATTTCGTGATGCATTTACTTTGGTTACCCCAGTTTTGCTTCCGTGTCGGTCGCGATGAATTGTGGGTAATTAGGTTTTAGTTCCGTTCATGAAATGTTCAAGCTCACCAACGTTCAGCACAGCTCCTCACGGAAAAGTAATTGTAAAATGTTAGACGGAATAAAGTTTTATTGATTTTTTTTTTTGTTTATGTTTTTTGCAATAAACTCGGACCACAAGAAACAAAAGGAAATAGTATAGAACAAGAAAACACTTTATTCTCCATTCATTCCTTCTCATCACACAGCAATAGACAAGATTGCACTACAGTCATGAAATTATGTGCAAACAAAGACTTTATTTTTTTAAAAAATATTTCACCCTCCTTCAACACAATGCAGTATTAACACAAGTAAGCGATATAATATATAACACAAAGTATGGAAAGCTTTATCAGAACTGGTTTGTTCGGTACCATGTGCTTGGTGTGAAGGTGGTTCTTGAGCAATGAGAAAGTATTGTACAGTAGGTTCACGTTCAAGTTTGTTTGTTACTATGACAGCACTTGCACTTGGAATCTAATGTCTTTATGACCACGGATGAGGTATGTGGATGTATTTTTGAATGAGTATTATAATACTACTCAGTGGATCACAGCAGATGAGGCCATCTTGTTTATCCCGCAGGCATTAGAGCCTCTGTACAGATAGTAGTATCCCTGAGAGAGAGACAGAGAGAGAAACAGATTTGATGTACAATCGGAATTTAACCTTGTTTGGCTATTTATTAATTTAAATTATGCCACATAATTAGTAGGTCAAATTTCCCTCGTTTAATTGTCCAAGTGAGTCACAAAAAAGTAAAATTACCCCCTCTCCATAGTCCTCTCCCCAGCTGTTTTTAATGGCCCAGAATGGAATGCCTTTACCTAAAAAAACAGAAAACATTTGAACTATTCATGTAACTGCTTAGATGGTCATGCACAACATAAACACCAGCCTCTTGATTTTCAGGAACCAGAGGATGGTGACTGAAGATGGGATGAAAACAGTATGAAGTTTGAACTCACTTTCCCCGTATCCCACCATCAGCACAGCGTGGTCGATCATCCACGGGTTGCAGAAGATCTTCAAGGGGTGAGACACACCTTTCTTGTAGAACTGCAGAAGTTTCCAAGATAAATATGACTAATTGGTATGGTTTTACTTCACTTTTGTTGTTTTTGTTGTTACCTGCATTGCAAAGGCGTTCAGTGCAACAGAGACCGGGCCGTTTTCAGCAAGCCAAGCTGCAATCTCTGGGGGAAAATTAACAAAAAAAAGTAAGTATGAGGAATTAACGGCTGAGTGAAAACTGCTGAATTTGTCCACTCCTTATCCATCCTTAATCCTGTTAGTCACATAATCTTGCTTAAAAAGTAGAAAGAGTTTCTTTTCTCTCAGTCTGAGAAGATAAATTAATTGTAAATAAACAAAACGTTCTTCCTGTGTTCAGATCTGGCTCACTGACCTTTCTCATCTTTGGATAGTTCCACAGAGCTGTTGATATAAGCTGCCACTTTCCTGTTGACAAAGCTGCAGCTCTGCTTGTGTCCAGTGTAGGTGTAGTCAGTCTCTGTCTCCAGGCCACCTTAGGTACAAATCAGAAGAAAAAAAAGATTATCGGTCAAAATGCTTTCACTCAGTACGAACATATTTCGAACCCTCAACAAATTCATTTTCTTTTTACCTAGTTTCTCAATTGCTTCATAAGCGTTTGACGGCAGTCCTCCTCTGCAGGCCTGGTCTACAGTATCACAGTCCACCAGCTCTGTAGGACACAGAACAAAGCACCACTTTAACCATAGTACTGGATGATTCTAAGTCACTGGTTTGTCTAAGTCTATGCTCACATGTCTCTGTTACCTTGTTCAGACAGTGACAACAGTTTTCCATTTTTCAGGAACCACTGGCCTTCAATGTTTCCTGTGACAGAAAATGCCCAGCAGGAGCCACACATACCCTGCAGGAAAAAATACACACTCCAATATACAGTGAGGAAGAGCTACGACATCAGCATGGTGGTCACAGCCACTGTCTGTCGACTTCTTGTATTGTAAAGTATTCTGGACCTGGTTCTTAACAGAACTGACTGCACCATGCTCCCGCCAGTCCCAGCTATCAGGGGCGGGACGTTGAGCAGGAGCTGCTGGTTTCATTGGTGAATGAAGGGTCCACTGGTTTAGTAGTGGGTTAAGGTACATAGTTTGAAACTCCTCCACTGGAAAACAAAAAGAAGGAGTAAAATATTTCTTTTTCTAAATAAGGAGCAAAAAGGAGGAAACATTTAAAAAAGCAACTTTGTTTTCTCAGTGGAAACTGTGTTGAAATACAAAGTAATGCAAACACTGAGACTTGTACCAGTTAAGTCGCTGAACTTGGTGACTCCGTACTCTGCTGACCCCTGATCCAGAGACTGGAGAGTCTCAGCCGTCTTCAAGTTTTCATAAAAGATTACCACACGACGTTCTGTCTCTGCAGGTTCCACGTTCAACATGTAAAGGGAAAAAAAAGATAAAAAATACTGCTCTGTTGCTATGATTGGTGATGACTTGAATCTGCTTTAGATTGCGGTTTGAATTAAACCAAAATCTGTAATAGGAGGACCAAATAATTACATAAAGGCTACTAAAATATCATAAAAAGTCACAACTACTTTTTAAACTTTTTAACCAATGCATTGCAGCACAGGATGTCAGACTTACAAGATATCCTCAATTACATCAGCAACAGCCATGTATTTCACTAGTCGTTACTGGTTCCTCAGTGGAAAGATCTACACAAAGAGTGATTTTTTTTTTTTAATTTATGACTTCATGTTTTAATCTCATAAGTATGCTACAATTGATCTGCCTAAAAAAGTATTTTTAAAATAATGAAAAATGAAATGAAAAGTGTATAATGACTGAAAACATTATGTATTTATGCTGTTTACTCAGCCATCATGTCTGTTGTTTCAACAGGTTTGACAACCCAGGGTTCAATCTGCATAACATGTACAGGGAAGAATGCTGTACATGCCACACATTGGTACGTATGTAGTCATATATGTTCCAGCCCACTTACCTTCCCGACTGCTATAGACCTTGTTAAATTTCTTCAAGAAGTGTTTGAACTCTAGCACCAGCCTCATGAACTTTCAGATAAAAAGAAAAAACAACACAAGAAATCAATATAAAAACCTCACTTTGTTTAAAGCTCACATTAACTGACAGATACGGGAGGGGGCTTTTGATGTGATGCTGCTATTTGTACCTCAAAAGTGTCATTGCCAAATTCAATATCCACGTTAATGAACTCTTCTGTTCGTGCTATAACTAAAAAGAGAAACACAACAGAAAATATGAATAATTAAAAGTCAAAATGTAAGTCAATGAAATCAACAACTGTCTATTCTTAGTTTCAGTTTAATAATTCAGAAAAAAAAGGTGCAGTTGGACTCAACAAAATCATCAATCCAAGCCTTTATTCTAATTATGTATTGAACAGAAAAGTATCAAGTGAACTATGATCTGTGACCCTGTGGTTTTTTTTGTATGTTTGGTTAAATATTCTTATAAAGAGGTTTTCAGAGCCAACAGACAGGTGACTGACCTTTAGGCTGGCAGTTCTGTTTCAGCAGAGTCAAATTGCCCTGCAAGGTAACGTCCCACACCTCAAACATGCAGAGCTCTGTCTGAAATCAACAGAAAAGTATTAATTTCAAAAAAAGACACTTGAATACTGTCCAGGATGACAACAGAATGATGGGATGTATAAACCTGTGTATTTGTATTTATAACATTCCATCAGTTTGAATAATTGCTATTTCAAGAAAAGGCTGAGACACAGAAAAACACGTGTCGGCTGATTCATGGGGCGTCACATGGGGTTATTCAAGTTCATGATTAGATGATGACCTTCTCCCTGAAAAACACTGCTGCAATAATAAATGCATAATAGATCACAACTATGGCGTGTAATCATTAGTCTATTTGGATTAATATGTATTACCATAATTTCTTACCTCGAGTTTGTGTGACTCAGGATAGAAGTCACATGACCTGACCATGCTGGATTTCTTGCACTGCGTGTTACTGACTTCTACTTTAATTGTGTAGCGAATTCCTTTGAGCATCTGAAAAAAAAAAACACCCACAAACAATTGAAAAAATGTCTCGGTAATAAAAATGCATTTTTCTCTGCACTATTTCCATGGAGGGGAGGGGGCGCTGTGCTATATTATGACAAATTTAGTGCTTAAACTGGCCACAATAAAAAAGTATAACTGATTTAGTTTAGCTTTCGTCCGGATTAAACCAGAGTTAAACCAATGACGTGACTTCCGGTCAGCTGGAGATACATGAGATTTTTTTTTTGAAATATATTTCTGAGCATTTTAATATTAGGTTTTTGTTATATTACTAATATTAGCATGCGGCTGTAATATTATTAAGTTAAAATACTATATATCTTCTTTCTTTATGTCGAAAAAATAAAGAATGTATAGATAAGCAGTGTGTGCCTTTATTTTGAACGCCCACACGTACATTAACTGAACATAACAGCGATTGTTTACAATGACATACTGTACATGTGATATAATCGATATTGAATAAATAAATAAATAAATTATGACGCAGTCTCGCTGTCAATGTTACCTGTCTGGTTACGGAGATAAAGCGGCTGATTTTACGACGATGCATTGCGTTTGAGCCCAGGTTGTAACGCTCTTCTGTGAACTCCAGAATCTTCTTCACACCCGGTTCGGACTCACCGAGCTGGACGGGAGAACCGAGAGGCTGGTTCGGGTCTTCACAGACCACCGAGCCCAGTAGGGCAGACAGAGCGATCCACGGGATTAGTGAACAACCAGCAGCTACCATGATGGCTGCGATTTGTTTTTTCGAATTAAATTTGCAACTGTAACTGTATATGTGTTTTCCCGTTTCTTGAATCCCTGTCGCGATGGAATATTCTGCGAGCTGCAAAGAGGATGAATGTTCCCGACCGACTGTTGTTGAATAACAGTGGGAGGAGACTCAACGACAGAAAACCATCTGACCCAGACAAACAACAGACGACTGTGTTGACAAAAAAAAAAAATTAATTAAAAAAATACACTGTATCAAGTATCAAGTAATTAAGCAATAACCACAGCATAAAGGAGAAAATACACGTCTCTCGTAGTAAATGTCGTTATTTGCAAAATTGTTGTTTTATCTCCTTTTTTCAAAACACATTTTTCTAGTACTATTTTCCCACGTTTATGCTCTGCTGGTGTAATATGTAAATATCCCATTTGTGTCATATTATCTTATCTCTTCATCTTCATGTTATCTGTCTTTTTAAACGTCCCCATCAGACCGAGACACTGCCACTGAACTAATTTTCATAACTAGGTCTCACTGCTGTCAAAATAATATAATAATAACAATAATAATGATAGTAAAATAACAAAGGGATAAAGAAAAAAATATATTTTGACCACAAACTGAAGCGTTTGTGAGGTTTAAATTTGGGCAGCATGTGTAGTAAAGCTAAAACAAACAATACATATGAAGCTATTACAAAACATTACCCCTAGGTGGCGAAGTAATACCGCAAATTCGCCCAATTTCTTTAAAAAGGACATTTACTCTGAAAGTAACAAGTATTCAGGAAAACAAACATTATTTTGAAGGACAACAACAGGAACTCGTCAGACACAAAAACCACTCCTGCTAGCGGTGCTAGTACCGCGCCACGGATAGCTATTGACAGTTGCTAGGCTAACATTTGTAACTTCACCACGTAGCATTGACGTACGTATTTAGCGAACTTTCAGAATGTCAGGGGTGCTGTGGTGAACGTGATGTCTAAATTGTATTTAGGCTTGAGGTTGAATTCCTAGCATTGGCCGGTATTCAAAGGTCTGTCTGACTGGCAGACATGGAGGCTCCGGGGATCGAAGACATGTTTGACTTTCGTCGGTAAGTCAGTTAACGGTGGTGACTGCTAACCCTGTGCAAACACCGGCTTATCTGAACGCTAAATGGGGCAACACAAAAGGAACACTCGGAGCCTGATCCCAAAGTCACGCTATCAACAGTGGCATTTGTCACTTGTTAGCACTTTAGCTAGTGTTGGCTTTGAGACAGTTAGCCACCTTGTTTACCTGTGTACTTTAAACTTTCGTTTTTCAGATATCGCTGTCATTTACTGCAGCCTACATTTGGTCATTTTGTCCAAAGTATCCGTTTACCTTTTACACGTAAATATGCAACACTGTTTTCTGGCAAGTCTAGCATTTTAGTACATTTGATCTATGCGCATGCTAACTTCCCCAGTGAGTGGAGAACAGTGAGAAAATTAAATATTCTCCTTGTACTGTTGGCTTTAGATTGACTGTATGGACTGGTAATGAACAGGAAGTTCTTCTGATCCTTCACGCTCAGCCAACCACGTAAAAACACGTGTGAAAAAAAGTCAGTGAGCTGAACTGACTATTGTACTGACGCTGCAATAAATTAGACCTCCTTATCTTTACACAAACTCTTTAATTATTTGCTTTAAATAACTTGCTAATCAAAAATTCAGGGTCAAATATTAATTGCTATTTTAAATAGTTAGCCATGTTTAACATAAACCTTCACAAACAAGTAAATAGTGTTAATCATTTAAAGATTAAATATATCACCATGAAGTACTTAATATTTTTAACTAAACGCCATTCACTTCACAAAGCTTTTCCACTTTCCACTAAGTTCTGCAGTGTTTTTATTTTACTTTACCAAGCTTTCCACTTAAAATTTTAAGTTCTGCAGTGTTTTTATTTTACTTTGTCCTTTTATATGGCAATTACTTTATAAAAAATAACAGAAAAAAGTGCGTATAAACACCATTTTTACCTTGATACAATAATAAGTCCCGGGTTTGAATATTATTAAATCTGACTATTGCCATAATATTTCTTTGTCATATCACTTGTCTAAATTTGCTACGTCGGTTAAGGCAGTCCAAGTGTTTGTGTCATTTGCGATATTAAAATCTATTTTTTCCTTATCTTCTGCAGGCTTCCTAAGGATGCCATTCTTCTCCTGCTGTTGCTGATTTACCTTCCCGTTGGCATTTGTTTGATGTTTTTGCGAATTTTCATTGGAATACACGTATTCTTGGTCAGCTGTGCGCTTCCAGAGAGTTTTCTGAGAAGGTAAGTATTCCAATTATTATTGTTTTTACAATTTCTTATAGTAGCAGTTGGTTTTGCTGCATTAGTATAAACACACATATAGGCGTTACGTAATATCAAAGACTTCATCAAAACAACGTTTAGTTCCTTCATATCTATTCTTTCTGTCTTGCTGTTGTATAATGTCTAATGACATTGCTTTTTTCATAGTAATGATTCTATTATATGGTGACCACCATGAACTCCTTGGACTTTTGTCCCAGGAAGTTACATGTCGTAAACCACAGAGCAAGACCCATAGAGGGGAAAAAAATATTTGTTTCTAGCTGTGAGTGCCTTGGGGTGTGGAAATACTTATACTAATATTGTGAATAAACTCCTCTCCTTTATTGCTTTTAGATTCATCGTGAGAATCATGTGCTCAGTTCTGGGAATGCACGTCAGACAGAAAAACCCTCGCTCCAGAGACAAAAACACCAAGCTGTACATTTGCAATCATCTTACGGCGTTTGACCACAACATTATCAACCTTCTGATTCCCTGCAATACTGTGAGTGTTTGATTGATTGATTGGTTTATTTTTAAATAGTAATTCCCTGTAAAGTATGACTGAATATTTCTGCTCTGAATGAAAACCGCACATTTTCTTCTCCTACATCCATCAAATATTCACTTTCTGACCTGGTTATGAATACGCTGATACATTATGGATTAAAATCTCAGTAGAACTGATTGTCACGGTTAAGCATGTGATATTGTGTAATGTGTTTTTTCCCTCTTTATTCTGGTTAGCCTCAGCTAGAGGGCTCCACTGGCTTCGTGTGTTGGGCCAGAGGCTTCATGGAAATCCATCCAACTACTGGCCAAGCGGCCATAGGAGAGTCCCTCCAGAGATACTGCTCCACTGAGGGCACCACATCTTTGCTCTTGTTCCCTGAAGAGGAAACGACAAACGGTCGTGCTGGTCTGCTCAAGTTCAGGTAACGGAGAACATTAGCCCAGCGTGAGATGTTCTACTCAGTCTGTTTCTTTCGACAGCATTTAAGATAGATGATTTTCGATTTAGTTTAATATTAAAACAATAGATGTTTATTCACTGATGTATATGTGAGACTTGTGTCTGTGTTTCTTTCAGCTCTTGGCCTTTCTCCCTGACCGATTCCATTCAACCTGTGGCCTTACGAGTGACCAGACCATTCATTGCTCTGGTAATGTCATTATAATGGAAAAGACCTTTAAACATGTGTTAGAACCATCTGACAATGTGCTACGTAAAAAGTATGAACCAAATATTGTGTGTATTTAATACTGATTTGTCTTCTGCTGATTCACAGAGCACACCAGAGACCAGTTGGCTGTTGGAGCTCTTATGGACATTTTTTGTTCCATGTACAGTGTATCATGTAAGGTACTAAATAACTTGAATCATTATTTTTTAAAATCAGCCGTTAATTATTTTTTTATTCTAATCTTTGAAAGAAATGCAAGTTATTTTTTAGTAGACATACATCTAAATAAAGACTAAACCTGATACATTTCAAAGCTACATTTTAAACTGTATTACTTTTATGTTACCATTTTCATATTAAGTTTAAATGTTTTGTTTTTTTTTGGTTTGTTACTTGGTAACATTACTAATGTTTTTGTCATTTGTTGGCCCTTTTCACTGCAGTTGGCTCCCACCAGTTTCCAGGCAAGATAATGAGTCTACACAGGAGTTTGCCAACAAAGTCCAGGAGGTAAAACAAACCTAACAAGTGAAGTAATGGGCAGATTTGTTTTTTGTTTTTTGTTTTTAATAAATTGTTTTAAGTATACTACTTAAACTCTTGCAGTCATGTTGTACACAAATGGTTAGAGATGTGATTCAAATAGACAAATCAATTTAAATGCATTTATGTGGTTGAGCTCCCTGTACAGGTTCTAAGACTTATTTCTGACAGAGCAGACAGAGTTGAGTCGACTATGTTTGTGTTCATTGCTGGAGGCAAACGTTTTTATGCTTCTTGTCTCATTAATAATGGAGCAGTCAGAAGGATGAGGCCAAACACGGCAAAAGGAAACCCTGTGAGTGGTTGACCTAGAGAGGCAGAACTATGTCATTTATTAGGATGAAGGGGAGATGAGGTAGCAGGCAAGATGCCCAGTGGGACACGAGGGAGAAACGATGTTGGATGTGCGAGTGTCACACCAGGGTGCCATCATCCAAGGCCCCAGTGGGACGGAGAAAGATGGAGTGAAGACTTTCACTGCATCTATCTGGTAGTAGAAGGATGTTGTTGAGCAGGCAGATCTGAAACTTAGTCACAGTGGCCCAGATGTAACACAGGTCGTTAAAGAACTTGAACTTTTGGTAGCTTTTTTTCCAGTGTTACTTTTGTTAAGACAAAAAGTTGAAAATAAAAGTCTTAAAATATGAATTGAATGGGACATGAATTAATTAAATTTGTGGCAACTGAACACTAGGAAAGACTGTCATCAAATATGCAAATGAACAGAAAATGAAACATCTACAGGTTGACATTCAGGTTTCAGGTCTTCTCTATTGGAATATTGATGATAAATAAAAAAAACAGCAATTGTATATAAAACAAACAAACAAACAAAAAGGCTAGTATAATATACAGACGGTCATTACACATGCTGTAACTGTACCACTGACTGTGTCAGGATCAAAGGTCTCTGTTCAAAGATCAGTGATGCTTCAAAGTCACAGAGCATCTGCTGATACAAGATAGTTAAAAGTATTTTTTTTTTTCTTGGTGTCTTTAACACTGGCTCCTCAGTCACTCCTGAACTGCAAGAATATCCACTGTAAGTGTGGTAATACTGTGATTTCTGTTTTTTTTTCTGTCATCATTACTAGTCTTTGCATCATCATCTGAACTGAGAAGTAAAATGTTTTAAATATGCAAATAAAAATTGTCTCCTTTATCAGCTACTAGCAGGTGAGCTGGGCCTGGTTTCCACCAAGATCACGAAAGCCGATAAAGTGGAGCACATCAAACGAAGGAGACGCACCGTACCTCAAACAACCACTAGTAGGTTCACAGCAGAACTGCTCTGTTCATGGGTCACTACATTCAAACTGATTTTTCTTTTCCACTAATGTCACCCCGTGTTCCTCTGACCCCAGGTGTCAGACCCTCCTCCATCGGGCTCAGTTTCTCGACCCAGAGTTTGGGCTCGGATGATCGTAAGATTGCTAAGATGACGCAACAAGTCAAGGACGTGCTGCCCCATGTCCCCCTGAGTGTCATCACAAATGATTTGGGTAGGACCCTGCTTCAAACATCCTTGTGATTGTGAACTGGACAAACGTTGCACTGTTCTTGTATGACCTTTGACCTCACATCTGTTGCCCCGAGAGTTTAACCTCTGTGTTCACATACTGTGTCTGGATGTTTACTCACAGTGAAGACCAACTGTGTTGACACAACTATAACAAATCTGCTGGAGAATAAGGAGGAACTTCAAATGGAGGCCATTGGGGGGGTGTCATCAGGTTCAGGGCCTCCAAAGATGAACTCCTCAGCTGGTCCCGCCCCCGACTTAAAGGTTTGGCTCGACGTACTATTTATGTACAAGAATGAACTGTAATACAGGAAGTGATTCAGTTGATGCAGTACTTTCATCATCATTATCCTGAGTGCGTTGTGTTTTGTTCCCTCCGCAGCCTTCTGCCAAATCCTTTGGGAAATCACCAGTTGACAGACATTTGTCTCTCCAAGAGAGAAAAGAAGCGTTGTACAATTTTGCAAGAAGGTGAGTTTTTTTTTTTTTTTTCCCTTCGACAAAGGTTGGTTCCTTTTTTTTTACGGTAGCTGAAAAAGCTAAATGGCATTTATTAATGTTTAATCTCTTTTAGGCTTAGCTTTAGAATTTATTTTCTTTTTGTAGAATGAACTAAGTGTCCCGTATCTTCCAAGCAGTGCTTCATTATTCTCGCCATGTTGTCTTTTTTAGGCAGGGTTGAACAGAAATGCAATATTCATAAATGTTTGAGATTTCCTTAGGTCTTATTCCTTGGCCTTTGTCAGTCACTGCGTATTAAAACTGCATGTCAGTACAGATGGGACAGGCAAAGGTCTTGTATGAGGAGAATGTTTGAGTGGATATAAGCCCTTTGGATTTGTTCTGAAGGCCTGTTTCCAATGTTGTCGCTCAGTGTCAGAAAGGCTCCAACATTAAAATTTCCTGGACTTATTTCTTACTCCAGTGACACTGGAGTAACATGGTCTTACTGAATGTATGAAGGCCACATAGTTTACTTTCAACATATACATACATACACATAGCTTTTGGTTTCTTAGTTGATTCTCTCTGTGAAATAAAAGGTGTGGTTATAATCTTTTTTTTTTCTTTTTTTTTTAGACGCTACATTGAAAAACATGCATTGGATGAAGAAGACAGTCACTGAACAGCCCTCATTTGTCAAGCCATCATCAACATTCTGTCAGAATGAAGCATATACTACTTGCATATTTGTCTAATTTAAATGGTGATTTTTTTTTTATTTCTTTTTTTTTTTTTTTAGGTCAACAGGTTCTGTAACAGACCACATGTCGTTGGTTACAAGTGATGATAAATATTCAGAACACATCTACATTGATGCTGTGGATATTATTCAGATCTTTAATTCTTCATTCTGGCTGATATATAATTTTGATAACAATTTGTATTAAGATTCACTGACTGTGAATCATCTATTTATTTTTATAGTGTCCAGAGTCATTGATGAAAATAAAGTTCAGCTTGGCCTTGCCTTCAAAGAGTTTTTCAAAGTGTTGTTTGGGAATTGATGATGTTTCACTTTTAATAAAATTAAAAAAAAAAAATCAGACAGTCCAATCTAATTCAATATAAATGATGACCACTCTAACCGAATCCAACTAGTAATACATTACAAACAGTTACAAATCAGTGACAACACAGTGGATAAACAATGTGCCGAAAGTATGCTTCGGTTAAAATAGATCAAGCTTTGTATTTACTACATATGTATATATTTTACAGCCATAATTCCGTCGAAACAAAGCAGTCATTAAGGGAAACGAGTCCGCAAATACAAGTCCGAACTGTAATCGTGTATTTCTAGTGTTTTCTTCACCACCGGGTGTGACGTTTCGTTTCCCCGGACGTGACGTTCTCTTTAGCTCACTAAGCTATACAGAGCTAACAGAGCTAATACGTTAGCTATGTCAGGCTTAGAAGAAACATCTAATGACCTTTTAAAGGTTAAACGAGACCAGGAGCTGGATGCAGACGCTGACGAAGAACTCGAGGATGATTTCCTTGTTGACTCCACTCGATATTTATTTTACAGGTAACGTCTGTTTAATAATATTGCAAATGTTAGGGTGGTTAGCATAGTAGCCGCCCTCGTCATACCGCACCAACTGAGCAACTACTCTGGAAAGACGCGCCAATGTCTGTTTTAAAAGTCTTTACATATTTGACTCAGAGAGTTTGATGTTTATGTTTTTCTTTCTTTTTTCTTTCAGGGAAAGAAAGGAGTGGGCTGACCTGGAGCCTGTTCCTCAGGACGATGGACCAAATCCTGTAGTGAAAATCGCTTACTCTGAAAAGTGTAAGACTGCTGAGATTGTTATGATGTTGGTCATGCAGGTTGCTCTGTTTCTCCATAGATAGATGTATATTTTTGTTTTACTGAGAAATAGATCTTTGAAGCGGAATTACATGCAAAGGAATTTTAACAACGCTATCCCAGAGTTTACTACCTTTTGAATAGTTAATTTTTATCACTACAATTCTACAGTGTTAGCATTGCACATAACACCATTAATATGTATAATTTGGCATTTTATTGCAGTACAGTTTGGCTTTAATCTTTTGTTTAACTATGAGGTGAGATTCCAGAAAAGTGTTTCTAACACTGCAGCATATAATGTACATTCACTGCTATACTGACAACTTAGTGCTAAACCTTTTACATGCTATTAGTAGGTTTCTTTTACCTGCTTTGTAATATTCTCTGTGTGTCTTGTGAGATTTAAAGTCAGTGATTCAAGAAGAATAATTCCAGGATAATGTTTGTCTCCTGCTAGAACGAATCTTTAATATTATTGGTTGTATAAAAAATTATTTTGTTGCTTTGTGTTGATTTTTTTTTGTTTTTGTTTTTTGTTTCTGTTATTTGACATACGTACATTTCTTCCAACAGTCTCAGATGTTTTTGACTATTTCCGTGCCCTCTTGAAGACTGATGAAAGAAGTGAACGGGCCTTGGCCTTGACAGCAGAAGCCATCGAGCTGAATGCTGCAAACTACACAGTCTGGTGAGCGTTGTTCATTTTTGTAATGAGGACAAGTAAAGCTGTCTATGTCTCGACAGAAGCACGTCAAACAAAAATATCTGTCTGGAGAGAAATTGTTTAACAATATAATGTCTTAAAGGTGCCATGGCCTTCATGAAAGTAAACATTACGTTTTGTTTTTTTTTTGTCTTAGGCACTACCGTCGAGTACTACTTCAATCGCTATCAAAAGATTTAAGGGAAGAGATGAGGTACATTACTGACATCATAGAGGAGCAGCCTAAAAACTATCAAGTCTGGTAAGTGTAAGGTCGAACATCAGTTTCAGTATTTTGGAGTACATTATCCATTATGAATATTTTCTGAAAAAGAAACTGCAATGACTATTCAGTGTGACAGAGGCAGAACAGAAATGTCATCCTCTGTCACACGCAGTGTTTCCGTCTCATGCCTGCTGTACTAAACGACACAGACCTTTTGAAGGTGATGAAGAGGAAAGACTTATTATTCCCTCCAGTCAGTCAGCTCTCAGTGAGGCTCAGGAAATGGTCGAGGACCAATTACGTCTCCCTCACACCCATTACGAACACTTGCCCCCCGGCAGACAATATAAAGTACCCCGCTGCACTAAGCTATTAAACAGTTTTAAAAATTAATTTGTAACAGCCTCCATGAAACTTTTAAACTCTGCCCGGCATACAAGATTGTGCAATACTTTTTTAATGGTTTTTATTGTGCTTTACCGCAGGAGGTGAGCAATATTAGTCCTGTACAATTTCTTTATTTGTTGTAGACACAGTGCTGCTTTTGTTGTTGGAAAAGCATCAGGGAATTCTGGACCATTGACAATGTTAAGAGTTTCCTAATCCTCGTGTGAAGACTTAGACTTCAGACCATCTTTGGATTTCTTTTTAACAGTAGGGGTCAGCAGGTGACAGTTTTGAGTCGCACTTGACACTGACATTTTTCCATATTAATAATCATATCAGTTTTAGATTGAATTACTGCACTTTACGGACCACTGGGTGTATTCTTCCACTTATATAAATAAATTGTAAAGTGTCGGTACATGTTTATGAATCCTTATTTAACATTTATTAAACATTTATTAAAGAAAACATGGATGATATGTAACATCTGTCGTCTGTTAAAACACTAGAGATTGGAGAAGAAGAAAAAAGTCATTGTTGAAATGACTGTGTTTGATGAAGACTTTTTCCCCAAACTTGTCTTCCAGGCATCACAGGCGTATGGTGGTGGAGTGGTTAAATGACCCCTCAAAGGAATTGGACTTCATTGCAGACATTTTAAGCCAAGATGCCAAGAACTACCACGCTTGGCAGCACCGGCAGTGGGTCATCCAGGTAGGTGTTGAAGCCCTCCACACAGTTTGGCTCCTAATCTGAGAACAGAGATCCAGATTTCTGCCCACACAAAGACATTCTGCTCAGACTGAGTGCTTCACTTGTGAGTTTTGTTCTTGTGTCTAACGTGGTCTGTGTTTTTCTGAATTATTCTGCGGCTGCTGATGAAAAGTCCTGTGATTTTTGTAAACATTTTCAGGAGTACAAACTGTGGGACAACGAGCTGGAGTTTGTGGAGACTCTGTTGGAAGAAGATGTGAGGAATAACTCCGCGTGGAACCAGAGGCATTTTGTGATTTCTCAAACCACTGGTTTCTCCGACCCGGTCGTAGTGGAGCGAGAGATTCAGTGAGTACCCTGTCTGTGAATATATACAAAACCCATTGAATCTGAAGGAATTCAAGAACTAGATGATGTTGAACCCGGAATCTTCTGGTGACAGGCAGATGACATGATTAATCACAATTAATTACAGGACTAGATGATGTTGATCCCGGAATCTTCTGGTGACAGGCAGACGGTCAAACCTCTGCTTCACTCTAGTGACATGATTAATCACAATTAATTACAGATGAATCATTATTCCTCAATGTGAAAAAAAAATCTGATAATCACTAAAACATATGTGACAATAAAAAAAAATCTGATAATCACTAAAACAATGTCCAACAACAGCAGGTAGAGGTCAGTGTTTCTCACCTGTTGTTATCTGTGACTAATCCAAATTATTATGAATGAAATTGTTGTTATCTCTGACTAATCCAAATTATTATGAATGAAATTATTAATATGGAAAAATTCCATAAAAAGTGTTTTTTCCATAATAAACCCATTATATCTAATACATAATTAACTGTTAAGAAGACAGTTTGACTCTATGACTTTATTCTGTTTATTTACTAACTGTTATTTGTTAAAGGTATTGTCTTAACCAGATCAAGAAGGCCCCGCACAATGAAAGTGCCTGGAACTATTTAAAAGGGTAAGTTAAAGAAATTGATTTTTTTTTTTAACCGAAATTTCAAAACACTATGTATATTTACGTGGTTTCCATTGCCCTGACCTTGTCAGTAAATAAAACTGATTGGTGCCTATTTTATGCAAGTCACACACAGACCACAAATATAGATTTTTTTTTTCTCCCACACAGCTACTGACTTTTTAATGTTGATAATTTATTTAGACCACAGTGGAAAACTGAGTGGAGACTTGGTTATTAAAAATGAAGAAGGCTCACTGACAGTGCCATCATTGTGGGGGTTTTTTTCCTCCAGAATGCTGCAAGACAGAGGTCTGTCAACTCAGCCCGGTCTGCTGGAGAGAGTCCAGGAGCTGAAGGAGACACACTGCTCCCCGTACCTCCTGGCCTTTCTGTTTGACTGTTATGAGGACGCCTTAGAGAACAGCACTGAGGAAGAACAGAAGGGAACCTTAGAAATGGCTCTAGAAGTAGGTGCTGAAGAAGTGAAAGCTCTTTGAAGAGGTGAAATTAAAAAATAATGCGATTAACAATCGGCCTGTGTTCGTTCTCGCCTGTTAGATCTGTCAGCTGCTAGCGGAGGAAAAGGACACCATCCGTCGGGAGTACTGGCGGTTTCTGGGACGCTCTTTGAAAAAGAAATACGGTAACTTTGTAGAACCCACAGCGGACGCCCAGGAACCTCCAGCCTCAGTGCCTGGACACCAGGAGTCCAGCTGAACCCCCAGAGAACTCAAACCTTTTCACTAATTTCCCCGCTTTGTCGTCGCTGTTGATGACGTGGTATAATGATAATGATTGATGGACAGGTGTCATGTGGTGAATGCTAACGCAAGGTTTAAACTCCTGTGCACATTTTTTTTTTATTTTGCAGTAGAAAACAAATAAATATTTGCACCGTCTTAAATCAGCCATTTTTTATTCGTTTATAGTCATTCAATTTTTTTGTCCTTGATTTCAAATAGACAGGAAGTGGATTGTACAATTGTTTTTTTGTTTTTTTTCCAGAGCAGATGAGAGATGAAATGCAGCAGTTATTCTGATCGATGACTCACAAAACAACTCAGCCAAGACTTTTTCTTTTTTCTTTTTTTTTTAACTTATTTCCAATCCTTTAAAAGTTGCTGTCAACGAGCCACTTTCTCTGCTTTCTGTAGAGAAGTTGAATCCCAGGAGCTGAGCTGCCAGGAGGAAAAAGTGAAACTAACCCTGTGTTCATACAGTGAGTACTGACGCTGTCCTGGACTTCCCTTTGGAGCGAGGAATTTGATTCATATCAGCAGCTGCAGCTGTTTCTACTTATGCTGACACGACAACGATTTTTCCTCTCTTCAGTTCTGAACAGTCTGTACTTGGTAATTACTGCTTCCGTGGACGCTTGATGTTCACGGGGAATTTTTCTTTTTCTTTTATCTTTCCGATCAACTTCCGCGTCGGGGGTAGTAATGACATGACACAGGGTCCAGCATCACAAACAGAAATCCATGTGACACTTATCAAAAGAAACTACAGTCGTCTACAAAATGTTTTATTTTACCTGCTACTAACCCCACAGGCTTTCAGAAACAAATAGGTTTAAAACGATATTAAAACTAAAATGTGTACGTGTAAAATCACACAACAGTTGGTGACTGATCCTGTAAATTTGTATTCCGATGCCACATCTCTCTCTCTCACTTGTACAAATTGAACAGATGCCTTCTCAATCACAGCATATAATTTGAGGACAGTGCTCTCTAGTGGTTTACCCGAGAACAAAACACTTGAGCCGATCTATAATTTAAACACAAGCCAGCAGCAGTTCACTGTGGCTGTGTGGCCTCACAGAACTGTCAATGCAGAGACTGGACAACATCCGGTCTGGTCCAGAGTTCTGCTCTCTGACAGGTGGAACCACAGTAATCCAGTGTGGAGTTCTTCACATTTACAGACGTGATTAACTTCTGTCAAGTGCTTCATGATTGTTATCAGTTTAAAATTCTTCCCTTTTTTTTTTGCTCTATTTTCTCTTTCCTTTTCCTTTTTCTCCCTGGTCTTTACCTCCTGCTTCTTTGTTTTGTGCCTTTTGCCATCGGGGGGCGCCACAACATCTCACCTGCCTCCATCTCTCCTTTTTTCCTCTACCATTACACGTTCTCTTAGTGTATCTCTAAACTGTCCCTGTGACCTGTCCTCATGTCTAATCCCAGTGTAATCCCATCCTCACCTACTCCTCCACCTCTCACCCCTCTCTCTCTCTCTCTCTACCTCTCACCCCTCTCTCTCTCCTCTGGTCCATTTTTCCCCGATGGTTGACCTGAGGCTCTGACCTCCTGTCATCTCATCAGCCTGTAGTGTGTGGAGTCGTTCTTGCCGTTTGTGCTTTCTCTCCTCTCTCCTCCTCATTTATACAAAATGTAAATGTTGCCGGAAAATGTCAACGTAAATAAACCAGTAGCTGCACATTGATATTTTGCTCAATGACTCGTTGGTTCATTAAGAAAACCCGGCTTAAACTGATGTGGCGTGGTGTAGTGGGAAGATTTTTATTTCCTCCTCTCAGGAGGTGCTGCTTTTAAAGACTGCCCTGATTTATAGAGAGAAGTTGTGGCTGTGAATGTGTGAATCCCAGCGTCACTTATTTAAGTGGAAACAAAGATGTAGAATTATTGCAGGACCCTGGCTGGGTGTTCCTAACACAACGCCAAACAAACATAATCCTGTAATTCAGACCTGTTTGTGTGTGTTTTTATTTTATTTTTATTGAAAGCAGACGCGCTTTTAATATTTTGAATTTCTACACCTGCTTCTACGACATCTCACAGTGTCAGTTCAGAATCCTTGAACTCAAACTGTTCTCAGTCTCTAATAATTAATACATTTTTTCTTTCGTGAACGTCGACACCTTTTGCTGTGGATTTTTTTTAATGAGCTGTTGATGAAGAATTGTTTCCCAGGCATTCTTTAATTAAAAGCCACTTCACTCAAGTCAATTAGAAATATTTATAGCCAGTCAGTGAAGTCTGCGAGTGCATTAGAGAGCCGTTATGAAAAATGTCAGGCCTGGAATTAAAAGTCAAACTGGTGTTTTTGTTGATGGTGAGAGGGAAACGTCGTTAATCTGCTGAGAGTTTTGTTCAGACACAGACGAATGAACACTGGACACAGAACGGGTGATGTTTATATTAAACAGCTAAAAAAAATTTAATTTCTGATATTCCCTTCCTTCTGTCCACACGTGGATGCTCAGCTCATGTGGATTTGTCTTTTCTGTTTCAGCTCCAGGGAAACATCCAGATGTGTGAGAGCAATGAGGAAACAAAGAGCTGCAGTTTGGTGACGTTTAATTAATGAACCTCAACTGAAAAGACTGAGAGGAAAAAAAACTGGATTTGTACATTCATATTATTTTACACGTATTATCTTGCAGCTCTTCTGTGTTGTCAGCAGGACGAGAGCGATCGGGAGAGAAATCCATCCGAACACCAAAGTGATGTCCCGTCAAATGTTCTGTTCTTCTTCTTCATATCAGTGTCACGAGAGGAGCTGGAGCCCAGGCCCAGCAGTCACCAGGTGAGGGCGGGTCTTCACTCTAACAACCATTCACACTGACATTCACACCTTAAGTTTCCAATTAACCTCATTTCTAATCTCTCCGTATTCCTACATGGAAGCTGGAGAACTCCGTACAGAGGAACGGTGGGACGGAACCAACAAATGGATGAATTTGGTCGGATAAACTTCACCAGAAAACGCATCAATAAAACAGGTAAGAAAAATCTTAAAGTATCTTCAGCTCACTGCTCACAAAACAACATAACGTCACTGTCCTCTTCTACTGAAGGTTTTACTGAAGGGGTTTTTTTAACAGCAGTTCAGGTTGAAATGTGTTACTCTGGGGGAATTGGCTCCTCCTGTGTCTCCTTGAATAGAACCCCCCTGCTCTTCTGTGACAGCCCTCCATCTCCTACTGAGTGGCTGTGATTACAGAGAGATCTGACCTCATCTGAATCAGATCATAAATATTAAGAAAAATCAATAGTTCAGTTTTAAAAGGACTAAAAATCAATACTTAAACCAAACTCTTCCTCTCTCTCTCTCCCTCTCCCTCTCTAACTCCACTGACCGCTGCCGTCACTCTGGTCTCCAGCCTTTGTATTGATTCCATACAGTTGTGAGTCGGTTTCTCTTTAGAACGAAAACTCCAGGCAACAACAGTGCAACCTGCTTCAGATCCATTAATATTTATGGGCCAACACAGGATTTTACAGGCTGACCTGTCAACTGCTGCTGTAAAACTGCACCTGAGACACCAGACTGTGGCAGGGCTGAGGCACTGGGCTTCACACACACACACACACACACACTGAGCATTGACCCGTGTCTTGATTTATTTAACCCAGGCCTCATTTCCCTCCTGTTAACCTGCTACAACAGAAAAAAGAGCAGTTTAATCTTAATGCTAAATTTAAGCGCAGACGTGAAGACGCAGGTTCTGCTGCCTCATGGTCATTTATATGCACTGCTCAGTCTCCCCCTCCCACTCTCAGACCCCCCCGCCGTCCCCCCCTTAAAGCTCCTGAGGCAGTTCTTCACTCGGCTGTTGGATTCATAACTGCTGACAGCTTTTACGGTCATTATTATACAGTAAACTCTACGAGAACACTGATTGGCTGTTGTCAAAAATCTGAGCATATTTATAAGTTACTGGGAGGGGGGAGGACGGGGGGGGGGCATATTAGATTAAATGTTTACCCTACCTCGACTGTGGTTGTGAATGTGAGTGTGAATGATTGTCTCTACGTGGACTGGAGAACTGCCCTGGGGCAGAATAACACCAACTGTTTATGCCATAATTCCAGCAAAATACAGAACAGGATTGTTGGCATATTTAGGATGTTTTTTTAATAATCGACATTATTCCCAATGATTAATCCTGATTAGTAATGATGTATCCACATCTACCGTGAGATTAATCTGATTAATTTTTAAACGTTAAAATTTTTTTTTTTATCGATTGGATGAACAAGAAGAATGTTCCTCAAACTGACGCTGTCTCTCAGATTAACTCGACGTGGAGAACCTTAGTTAAGGGTTGAAGCTGTCTTTTGTAAAAACACTGTGGAGAAGAAAAAAAAACAAGACTTGTTTTGGACCCGAGAAAAGGAATCGCTGATGCTCCCAGAGCAGGAGAAGTTATCAAAGTGTCTCCAAGTGTCAAGAAGCGGAGAGTGAAAAGTTTTATGGAGAAGTTCACTAAGTTCCACACAGCAGAGAACAACATGACAGTGCTAAAAAAAAAAAAAAAAACTCTAGACAGAAACCAAGTTAGACTTGTGTATGAAGACCCTAGAATAACTGCTGGAAAGACTGAGCCTGGACTGGACGTGGTCTGAAGAAAGAGAGGCCAGTACAGGAATAAACTGCTGGAAAGACTCCACGGCAGCCGAGAGGTTGGAGAAAGGAGTGACAGAGACTACAATCGGAATTTTTTCTTTCTTTCTTTTTTTTTTGGGAAAAGAAAACGGTACAAATCTGTTGGGACTTTGTCCGTTCCCTAAACATAGGACAGAGTTGTGGATGAATGTGTTAAATACTGTAAACTAAAGCGACGGGGTTATCATGTTTGAAGTACTTTTTTTTTAAGTTGGCTTTTTGAGTTCTTTCCCTTGTTGTCGTTCTTGTTGTCGTAGCTGTTCTCGGCATTATTCCAGTTGTTGTACTCGTTGTTTTTGTAGTTGTTCTGGTTGTTGTTCATCTAAAGTGAAAGAGCAGCAGGTCATAGAGTATTCACCTTCACCATTGACTTTCAGTGAATCACAACTTCCCCCTCTAGTGGTGAACTGTCTTTCACTTCCTGCGGGTTTCTGACCGTGTCAGTGACGTCTACAGTCGTTCTTCTTCTCCTTCTTCTTCTTCTTCTTCTTCTTCACCCTCTTGTTTTTCTTCTTCTTCTCCTCCTTTTTTGAAGGATGTCTGTCGTTACCACCCTCTTCTTCACCCTCTTCTTCTTCTTCTCCTCCTTTTTCGAAGGATGTCTGTCGTTAACTGTCGCCCCGTCAAATTTTCCGCACAGTTAAATTCAATTGTTTCCTCTGGTCCAGGTTATTATCACAAATACAGTCTCCAACAGCTGTGAACACAGACTATGCTGAAGGAGTGCATGGTCTTCTACCCCCCAACCCCCGTCTCTCTCTCCCTCCCTCCCTCTGTCTCTCTCTCTCTGTTACAGTTACAGTCAGGTGAAGCCACTCCTGCTGACTAGCGGTATCTTGGGGTCAGTCACTCTCACACTGTGATTGTTGATGGCGTTGACATCCTCAGCACTGTCAGTAGAGCATCAGAAATGCACTGTTAGCAGGGCTGCTAATTGTTGGACCAATCAGAATCATCAATTCTGTCATTACGTGTTTTTTTTTTTTTTATCTGTGCACCAATCCAAAGAACTAACGGACTGATTAGACTCTCTCTCTCGCTCAGTTTTTTCTTTCTCTCTCTCTAACACACACACACACACCCTGTCGCTCTCCCTGTTACTGGCAGCTGTAGCGGCACAGCCAATGAGGTGGCTCATTGTGATAAATGGATGACGGGGGGATTTTCTCGGCTGCATATCTTCCACCTGAGCCGTCAGGCTGCTGCTTCATTAATTCAAACCAAACTTGGGTTTGTCCTCTACAAGTGTTCACATCCTGGATCGACTGATTGGTCCAACAGTTTAGCAGCAGTTTTCAGTTTACAGGGAATATGAAAAAAACAAAAACAAAACTCGTTTGTTATTTTCTCCAGCTCTCAGATAATTGCACTCATTCAAACATCTCTGCAGCAGCAGCTCAGTAACGATATCATACAGATGGAGGTGCTACAATATATGGTTTTCATATAGTGAACTGTAGTTACTGATGTGATTATCTGACTCCTCCAATAGTCAGGAATATTGATTTTTTTTTTTTTTTTGCATCGGTTTTAAACTGTTGTAGCCTCGAGAGAAGATTTCTAAATAAGAATCAAATTTACCAGTATATATACACATATATTTGTATATATATGTATGTATGTATATGTATATATGTATGTATGTATATGTGTATATATGTATATATGTATATGTGTATATATATGTATATGTGTGTATATATGTATATATGTATATGTGTATATATATGTATATATGTATATGTGTATATATATGTATATGTGTGTATATATGTATATATGTATATGTGTATATATATGTATATATGTATATGTGTATATGTGTATATATATGTATATGTGTGTATATATGTATATATGTATATATGTGTATACAGTATATATATATGGATTAGGCTATGACCTTTGACCCGTGACTTGTGATGTTACCAGAAGATGCTGCAGTTTGTCATCAGTTCTTTTTTGTCAACATCACAGATATGAGGTGCTGAATAACACTGACGACAAATGTTCCATTGATTTTGGCGTTTAGTGTCATCACGGCGAGAAAGCAATTTTTTTTATTTTTTTTATTTTTTTGACCAGTCAGATTCCTTTTAGTCTGAACAGCGTGTTTCAGCACCACGGACAGCGCACAGAAGCTTCTCTCCAAAAGTGCTGGTCGAACATTTATGGCTCGGTGTAGGATTTCAACAGAGAGACTCATAAAAGTATTGTGATAAAAAGATGAAGCACGTGTGTGTATGTAGCTCAAGGTTAGCGTTGACAAACTGGAGCTGACGCTACTGACCTGTTCATGTGATTGGGTTCAAACCCTGACCCTTTTGGGCAGAGGACGAACTGAACCAAAGTGAGATTTAGGCAACATCAAAGAAAATGTAACTTAAATATGTTATAAAAAAAAAAGCCAGAGAAAATATGGAATGAGTCTAGATTTTTAGGAAATGTAAATGATCTGTCATGATGCTAAAGTTGTGGTCCAGGTGATGAGGTACTTCTGGCTTCTGATTGGCCCAGTAATGTAAAGAAGGAACGTTGAAAAACACAGTTGATTTTCTGGAAAGTTGTTCCTTTTCCTTTTTGATGTTCATAAACACGGCTGGTTATTATTAGAAGAAAAAAAAAAAGAAGAAGAAACTTTTACATGAATGTATTTTGTGAGTCCAGTTTTAGGTAGATTTGTGACAAAATAACGTCAGACCCATTTTAAAATCATCTGCTAAAACTCAACTAAGTGTTTTGTTTTATGTTTTTTTTTCTTCTCCCAGATCTCCCGCCTGAAGCCTTCCAGCTCCTCACCCTCCACCAGCAGCTTCACTGTCACCGCTGACAGAATAATCTAACTCGATGCTGAAGAAGGTCCCAGAAATAATGTTCCTAAAACCCTGTTACTTCTACCAGAGGAGGAGGAAGAGGAGGCTTTTGTTATGACGTAACTAAAGTGGTTTCTATTTCTCAGGACGTCTCCATTAATCCACCACCAGGGGGTCTTTATTGGTCCTGTGGGTCAGACTGTGGCCATCGGTCCACACGACCTTCCACCATCTCACCATCTGAATTAAGCAGCAGCCTCCCTCTCCTCCTCCTCCCCCTCTTGGCTGCCACAGAAAAACCACACAGCCCTGAGCCGGGCGGACTGCAGACAGAGGAGACGCTCCATCCAACAACAACAGCAGGAGGAAGAGGAGGAAGAGGAGGAGGAGCAGGGAAAACTTTTGGCCGACAGAGTGCATCCAGGCTGCTGAGTGCTGCGGGCATGTGCAGCTGAAGTGGCCGTTGTTTGTGTGGCCCTTTATGGATTATCGATAAGTGCAAAAAAAAAGAAGAAGAAGAAGAAGGGAGCGCGTTCTTGGCTTCTAAATTATTTATCCGTAAAGTGGCGGCGGGGATGCGAGTGAGACGCCACAGCGGCGACGATCGGCCGCTCTGAACCCGAGCAGCCACCGGCAGATGATGCCCGGGTGTGAGAGCGCTTCCCGGGGAGACGAAGGAGAGGACGAAGGAGGATGAGGAAGGAGGGAGGGGGATCGGGAGCGGCAGAGGAGGAATATAATGAAGTTGAGTGGAAAAGGACTGTGCACCGTCTTCTCCAGCAGCCTCCTCTTCGTGTGCGCCCTGAGCGAAGTTGTGATTGGATTAAGATGCGTCTCGCTGGGATCCACGGTGAAAGCGCATTTCCACCTCGGCTCCACCGCCGGGGCTTTTTACTCCGGGCTACTTGTGGGAGTCGGGCAGATCCTGCTGGGCTCCGCGCTGCTCTGCTGCGTGGACAAGCCCGGCTGCAGGAATTTCTTTCTCCTGGGTGTTGTGGTCTTCCTGCTCGGAGTCCTCACCGCCTTCTCCGGGGCGGTGGTGGACGGGGACACGGCGTCTGTGGTGGAAAGGAAATATTCACATTACTGCTACCACTACGTGTTCGTGAGCCCCGCGTGCGAGCAGCTGAGGGAGTACCAGCGGAGCCTGGTCATCTCCACGGTCCTCAGCACCCTGGAGTGTGTGCTGGGGCTCATCAACCTGCTGGTCATCAAGAGGTACAAGTTCTCCCGGAGCAGACAGTGTCAGCGGCAGAGGCGGACTCTCTTCAGTGAGGAGCGGGACTGCTCCTCCGCGGACTTCCAGCCCGTTTCCTACATCAACCTCGGGGTCTTCAGTGTGTTCGATGAGACCGCTGAGGTGCAGAGTGCCGGACACCCGTCCATAGAGCTGCCCGGATACGCGCCCGCGGACCCGGAGCTCAATCACTGCTTCCCTTTCTCCTGCCCGCTCCCCACTGAACTACCGCCCGCGTACGAGGACATTTTCCCCGCAGAGGCATGCAACACATAGCCGCTGTGGCCGCTGGGTCAGAGCGCGGCAGTGTCGCCCTCTGTCTGTGACAATCACCGACTTTGTGCTTTAACCATTTTTCCCTCGTGTCCTTAGAATAAGACAGCAGCAGGCCCCCCCCCCCCCCCCCCCCCCCTCCCCCCCCCCCCCCCCCCCACCCCCCCCCTCCCCCCCC